TCCAGTTCATGAAAATAATGCAGTTCGTAAATTAACAAAAAATAAACTGATTCCTTGTTACATAGGTAACATACGCAGCATGCATGGTCTTGCAATTCTGTCTGAATTCAAGAATCCTAGCCCCCACCCCCCGGGGAGATTCTCCGAGCATTGTTTTCCCAACTCCTCTTCATGGTTTTCCGCCAGACATGTCAATCAGTCACGCGCATTAGGAATGGCGTCATACTTTGGGCTCGAATTCGTTCAAGAGACACTAGCGCTCTGCTCCAGGAAGCGTTGACATTAGTTCGAGGGCCAACCACCAGGGCATAGACCGCCATTGCGGTTACCCTGCTTTCGCGCAGTGCCCTGTCTTCTTAGTATAAGGTCTTTGGGGGTGACCACCCGTGCCCCCTGCCCCCTCTTCCCCTCTGCCCCCTGTTCCCCCCGCCCCATTTCCGGCTTCCTACGCCCTTCGGCTCGATGCACTTCTAGGCCCCTCACCGTATCGGGATGGAATTTTCAGACGGGGAACTGTAGTAGCCGGAGTCGTACTGTTTTTTCGGGCTCCTTCGAGATGCGAGGGAACCGTCGACTTCAAATAAAGAGAGACCTTCGGGAGAGAGTGATAAACATGGAAGCGATGAAACCGGTTTAAAGATTCCGTTTCGGCTCCTGCAAGGACTTCTCGTCGACTCGTCCTCGGAAGCCCGGTTCGATTCGTCCGAAATTCGCGTACCGGGTCGGGCGATGCCTTCGTCGCGACGTTCCTCGGCCGCCTTCCAAAAGAGTTCACCCGTCCTTCGAGGACCGCTAGCTTAAAAGGGGGTTCGCAAGACCCGATGGGACTCGAAGCGCCGCGCCGTGCCGACCGACCGCGACGCCCGATCGACGATCGCAACCGATCTTTCGCGGTCTGGAGACCCGGCGGGTCGGCGCGTCCTCGACCCGAGTACACGACTCGCTCGTCGACACTAACCGCCCGAGATCGCAACTCGTGTGCCTTCAGTTGGAGAAGGGTAAACGGTTGCGTCTCGTTTTCGGGCACGGCGACGAGTCGAACGAAGAGGTGGATGGGGCCGGACGGGGCCTGACCGGGACGGACCCACCGACGACGTCCATCCGAAAAGTGGGTTTCGCCGGTGCAAGAAAGTCTGTCTGTTGGCCGAGGCCGAAAGCTGGCGAGGGGTATGAAACTCGAGCTTCGCGTGACGATGCCCATCGAGTTTTCGATGAATACACCGTAAGATACGTGGTATCGATACGAGCAGTCGCCGAAACCGGAACTCGCGGATGGAATCCCCGCTCTTCGGTCTCTCTCGCGTACGGATATCCGCCCCGTCGTCGAGTTCTTCGTGCCGCCGGACGAGATCCACGGGGACATCGAGACCGTCGGACGAGTCGCCCCTCGAGATCCACGGGGAGATCGCGGATCCTCTCGGAGAACACGCCCCTTCCGTACGGACCGTTCGGAAGCGGGTGGTGGCAGTCGAGGAGGGGGATGCAGAGGCAGACGATCGGCCGCGCTCTGGGCGACCTTCGACGGCTTCGAATGCAGACACGGTGGAGCGTGTGCGCGACCTTCAGGCCGCGGACCGATACCAGACCTGCGAAGAGACGGCCGAGCGAGTCGGCCCGGCACCTGGCACCCAGCACCCGGCACCCGGGCACCCGGTACCGCTCGTGGAATCCCGCTCGAGGACGTCTGCCGAGTGGGTCGCGCATCCGCTCGCCGACGAGCAGCGTGCGGAGGCCGAGCGCACGTCTCGGGGCTTCCGACGCGAAGGGCGACACTTCCCGCGGCGAATCGTCACCGGTCGCGAGACTCGGGTCTTCGGCCGGGACCCGGAGCTCGAGCGGCGATCGGCGGAGCGGCTCGGCGACGACTCGCCGCGTCCTCGGAAGGTCGAGCGCAGGCAGGGTGCCGCGCGTCGTCTCCTCCGATGGGGAGAGCATCGTGTTGCGCCGGCCCGTTCCTCGTGGCACCACGGCGGCGACGGCCGGTATCGAGAGAAAACTGCGCCCGTGACTGCCGGAGGAGGGCGCGATCTTCCGCGACGACACCCCGGTACGTGGCGAGCGAGAGGCGGTGGAGCCTCTCGACCGCTCGGAATGGGACGCGCTCGGCCGCCCATCCCTCTCGCCGGATCCGGCCCCGTGTCGCTTCGACCTCTTCTCCCAGACGAAGGGGTCGCCGACGGGCATCCGCTTCGACGACGAGGAGGCCATCGTGGCGGCCACAAACGCCTCTTTCCGACGCCTGGAGATTGCAGGTGTCGGTGGCGCGTTCGAGAGTCCGGTGCACCGCCGGCAGAAGTGCTTTCGGCTCTGCGACGCATACGTGGATCACCGTATCTTGGGACGCGTTTGTGTCGTATTTTGTTTTCATATATAAGGTGGTTAAAAAAAAAAACGCTCTACCGTTTTCTACGGGAGAAACAGTTTCATAAATGCGGCAAAAAAAATTACACTGGATATGCGATCGATAGACAGTTTCAAGGTGTTGAAATGCTTGCCAGCTTTTTTTTCAGCACCCTCCCTTAGTCGTGCAATACCCATTTAGAGGTGAATTAAAGGTGCTTCGAGGTGGATCATTCCACCTCAAGTGAGGTGATTACATGTGCTCGACCGTCTCAGGATTCAATGAATTTTTCAACTAACTTTTCAAGGGACAGTTGGGTCCAGCTGATACTTGACAGAGAGGTTCACGAGTTTAAGGTTTTTTTTTCACTTCCGCAAGATGGCGCTGTATCCCCATAGAGGGCGCCGTTGTTGACCGGTTGACCCTTGCTGCCTTCGAGAGCAATTCGTCCGGTCCTTTGTAAAAATGACTCGAACGAAGAGAAACCAGACGGTCTTAGGGGATGATCCGTGTCCTCGGGCAGGCGAACCGTGTCGACCTGCCGAGGGAGTTTGCTAACTCGGATTCGTGTCGTCGTCGTCGACTCGTCGAGCCGTAATGGCCTTCTTTCGCCCGTGGGGAAGTTCCAATTACGTCCTGCCTGGAGATTTTCAGGAAAGTGTTTCTCCTGTACAATTTTTAAGTTAAAACGATTCGATGCATGTCATCCTTTCTCATATTTTCTTTGCTTCTCGATGAAAAAAATTCTGGCAGCACTGACGCAATCCTCTGCGAGATATGAAGGGCTGAAAGGTAAAGTGGTCTATCTGCAAAAAATTCCCGAAAAAATGTTGCTGTTTTTTTGTCCTGTTCCTTTCATAGAAAATTATAGTTTTTTTTTACATTTAAATTAGGTAAAGGAGGAAGTGCTCTATCGATACATACCACTTTTTCTCACTTTTAACAAGATGGTCACTGGAATATTCACTCATTCCGTGTGGAGCTCGAGGAAAGAATTTTTCGCAGATAGACCACTTTGCCTTTCAGCCCTTCATATACCCGACGCCGAGGGGGAGACAACGAGTGACATGCACCGAATCCGTTTAAGCTACACTAATCTGATCTCACAATGGTCCCCTATGGCAGTGATTCCCAATCTTTTTTTATTTGCGGCACACATAAGGACACTCGAACTTTCCACGGCACACCCAGCCATTTACTTACTTGCAATGGGAAACTTGCGCTTGCTTCGCTGAACACTGCAGTTTTAAACGAGGCGTGATAGTGCAACTCAATGTTCGTTTTCTACTGATAGATGGCTTTCCCCCTTGTTTTAAGTTTTTTTTTTTTAGTTTTAGGTTTTTAGTTTTTTTTTTGTCACCCCTCAAATCTCACGGCACACCTAAGCCTTACTGGCGGCACACCGTTAGGGAAACACTGCGCTATAGGAATCAGTTAGATAGGGTGACATGCGCCAGATCCTTTTAACTTTAAACTGACTTGTTTCCATAACGGGCGTCTATGGGAATAAGATTACCTCTGTTAAACTGATTCCCATAGGGGACCATTGTGAAATCAGAATAGTTTAGCTTAAACAGATCCGGCGAATGCCATCCAATGACAAGTCTTCTACAAGGTCATTTATCATGTCCTGGAGACCGGAGTCGTCACCCTTTGTGGGTGTCCAAAGATCCGCTCGCTCTCGCCCGCTAATGCCTGGATGACCTTTACGTCCCATGCGTTCTGTTCTTTCTCGATCGACCCCGGTCCTCCAACGATCGGATCAAAATATCATTAGTGCAGGATCATTTCGTCGCACCGTCACCACGGATCGCGACAATGAAACACGCTCGATCGATCGATCGCGTTTCCACCTTCATTTCGCGGAGAGCAGAACACGAGACACGATGGCAGACGCGGAAGAAAACTAGAAAATCAATTCCCTTTAGACTTTTTCTTCTTTCCGCTTCCACTCTCCTTCGTCTTCTTCCTCTTTTTCGGCGTCTTCCACTCTTCGACTTCTTCTACCTCTCCTTCAATCTCTTCTTCCTCTTCTCCGTTGAGTTCCTTGGGGATGCGGTTGGAATCCACGGCGGAAAAGTTCACTTCCCCCAAGGCCCCATCGTTCTGGAGGGCGATTCGACGCATCTCTCCCTCCTTTCTCCTCTCCTTCTCTTCTTCCTTCCCACTCTTCTTCTTCTTCTTCCTCTTTTTCTTCTTCTCCTCCTCCCCTCCGTCTTCCCGTTTCGTCGTCGCACCGCTCTGCTCCTTCTCTCCGTTCCCCAACGTTTCCACCGTCGATGCGCTGGTCCTGGGGATCATCGGGTTCGTGAACGGAAAGGTTCCCGACGAACACGAGAACGGACCTATTTCACTCGTGTTCCACGATTTCAGGTCCAAACGCCTCTAAGCCATTTCTCAGACGGTATTACAATTAGTCAGCGAGCAAAAAGGTGGAGCGAGGCATGCAAGCGTCACGTAAAATCAGCCGAACCAAAACGAGAAGCTGACACTGCGATAGCCCCCGATGGGGCGAGCCACATCGATCGGTGTAAAAACTACGTCATGCACGCGTGAGAAAATTAGTCTGTTTCCTAAATGTTAGGAAATTGGGGTGATTTATCCGGCTTTTCCACGATTTCCTAGTCTGTGGGAATCCTTCCAACGGAAAGAACATGATTTACCAAGTGGAATGAGGAATGTTGAACTTTGCAGAAAGGCGGTTGAACAGAGTCTTGAATTTCTTAGCACGTCTCAGCTGCCCCTGTTTTGACACCTCTATTAGAGTAGTCTTCATCATCCCAGGTAGCTCTGATGCATTCTTGTGAGGTAAAAGTGCAAGGAGGCACTCCAGGACCCTGCATACGTGAATGACACGCGCCTCCACGCGTCCCAATCTCTCCAGCTCCTAAAACGATGAGATATTCAGACGATCGAGGGTGCTTCCAAAACCACGCGTCGGCGACATCGCGGAGACGCTCGCTCACCACGAGGAGGAATTCCGAGATGGAGCCGAGGACGCGATCCTTGTCTTTGCTCGCGAGGCGTCTGATGACGTTGGTGTTCCGAAGGAAGGCCACGAGAAGCTGGCAGGCGTGGGTCCTGGCAGGGATCTTCTCCGCCGTGGAAGCTCGTTTCACCACGGCATCTGCCAGTCTCCATCCTCCATCCCAATTCAACGCAACCAGGTGCTGGAACGTCTGCCACAACAACTGGCTTTCACTGCAACAAGGAAGCAAAATTAAAAAATAAATCATTGTGCAAAGGTAACACAGCATAAAGAAGGATGAAAGGTACCGAGGAGATGCTGGCTCATGACCAAATTTAATTTTCCAATATCAATCTGTGCCAAAGGATAGCTCTGACAAATTTTTGTGACAATACATTACCACAATGTGAATGTCATGTCCTCGCTTTCGCCTTGCAAAAAAAAGTATCAGCTTCAGATTTCCCAGGGATCAGGGATTTGGAGTTGCATGGAGTTCATCATTTAGGAAGGTGTGTAAATATAAAAATAATTCACATTATCACAATGTCTTGAGTGAATGAGTGAATCTATGTCAACTTTTTAGCATGCCCTAAAGTTCTAGTTCTATGCTATTTTTTGAGAAAAGTAGGGCATCATATAGTTCGCTGAAGTTCCTGAAAAGTAAATTGTCTCTTTCAGGAAAAGACCAATGACTCCCTTCACCTCAACCATTTGAGTAAGTCATCATGCAACAAAGATGTGAAAGCACAAGTAAAACATGCAATGAAGAACCTGGGTAGGTTCTGCATTGGTCATTTAGGGATTACACAAATGCAAAAAAGATGTCAATACTTCGTGGCACATAGAGAGAGAAGTACCTGCGCTGGAAGATATCTTGAATGGCAGTGCAAAGTGTGTCCACAAGCAGTTCCTTGTCATCTGATCCCATGGTGGTGTGAGTGCTGCATCTCACCACCATCACACACACCCTGTTTGCCATCACAACATACCGTGGGGGTGAAGCTGGAAGAAGACCATGTTTAAATTTTGAACTGGGTACTGCATTTTTCTTCAGACAGAGTAAAAGCACCCTGAAATGCAGAGCAACTGACTTCTTGCAAATGAATTGAGGAGGTCACTAATGATTTGTGGAAACTGTGCGGGATTCACATCCATACTGGAAAACTTCCTCAATCCAGACAGGCGTGAGAGGAGGGAATCCAGGCGGGTGCTCAGAGTCTCCTGGCGGAAATCCTTCAGGGACTCGGCATAGGCCTTCAAGAGGGGAAGGATCAGGGCCATGACGTGTCCCAAAGGACGAGGATCCCGCATATACAGTTCCAGCAACTCCAAGCACCTGTTGAGATAATGAAGAGTAGGAGTTGTTGGGATGAACATTACCACTCCAAGACATTCTTCACAAGGAAAAAAATCAGACAAAGACATTCTTATACGAGGGTCACTCAGAAAGTTTTGAGATGTGCAAAAATGTGATGGCGTAGAGACTATTGATTAAAACAGGTTGAAAAATGGTACATTTTTAAACCCTTGAGAACAAGTTTCAACATGATTCCAGTAAAACTGTATTTTCTGGAATATTTTTAAGTTAGGAATGTAGGCGTTCTCTTAGTCAGCACCATGGAGCATTTCCGCACCATGATTCTCTATGACCAGAGTGCTTTAAATTAAGTGCAGTATCTTGCCCTTTTGTATATTGTGTTTTGGGACAGAGCATCTTCCATAGTCATAGTTTTGCACTGCTTTGCTGAGTTTAAGAGGGGAAGAACCAGCATCGAAGATGATCCCCTCAGTGGAAGACTTGTAACTGCTTTCACTGAAGAAAACATCCAGAAAGTGGAGTTTATGATTCAAGGAGATCAAATATGCAAAAGGCATGATATTGAGGAGTACCTGAACATTGGATCAGGGAATGTTGCAGAAATCCTGCATTGATTTTTTTTAGTCAGGAAAACCTCTTGCTGTTGGGGTCAGATGAGCAAAAAGGGGTCTGAGAGGAATGGTGCAAGTACATGCTCCGAACTTTTTGAGAAGAATGCTCAAAATTAAGGTTTGACATCGACACTGGTGAGGTGCCACGGATTTACTGGTAAGACCCGGAAACAAAAAGGCAATATGCAGTTTGGGTGTTCCATTAGGATGACATCCCCACCACGGTGAAGAGGGGAAGAAGATGATTGTCACTTCCTCTATTGTCAGTGGTCATGTAGCAACAGTTTTATCGGAGGACTGAATAACAGTGAATGCTGAGTGGTACATCATACTGTGCCTGCCCAAAGTTTCCCAAAAAGTGCGAGAAAAAAGACCATGGCATGGGCTTTGAGGCCTCCTCCTGCATCACAACAATTCCTCCAGCAGAAGCACAAGCAGCACAAGGACTGTGGTCTAACAGGAAGAAACTCTTTTGTCTGCCTGGTCACCCTTCTGCCCTAGCCTTGTTAGGACCCATGTGATGACTTTTGTTCACAAGGGTCAAAGATTAATCACTAAGGAAGCAGTTCCCAAGTCCAGAAGATGCCATCATTGCCTGTGAGGAAGCAGTTCCTGAGGTGGCAAAAGAGGAATGGCATAGTTGCTCTGAGTGATGGCTTTACAGGGTGAAATGCTGCATGGAGTCTTTTGAGGAGCACTTCGAAAAGTTGTAGGTGTTGAAATGAAATTTCATCAATTTCTCTTAAGGTATCTCAAAACCTTCTGAGTGACCCCACATACAAGTTGAATCTTGAAAGATTAGTGAAATGATGAGAGAAAGGAGGATGCTTCCACAGGTATGAATACCTGAGCCTAAAATGGAGGAGCTTCATGTCACTCTGGAGTAACCTCCCAGACTTCTTCTTTGATAATTTTCCTCCAGCATTTTGAAAGGCATTTGAAAGAGCACGATCCAGTTCTGCCATTCGTTCATCATCTATGTCACTCACATTCACTGTTTCCTATAACAGAACAAAAATTATTACATTAGATGTGATCAGAAAATAGATAGTACTGAATTAAGTAATATTCCACATTGGTTAATGTCCAAATGGAGTCAAAAGCAAATGATATACTAATTCCAGGGTTGTGATAAAAGTTAGTCTCACAAGCACACCTGGACAAATGAACATGTTACAGCAGAAGTACATATCTCTGACTTAATATAGCAAGTATTGGCTAAGTCAAAGCATGAGGATACTGATTTCAAGGAATAGACTATTGGATCTCCAAATTGCATAGAATAAAGAATGTGCTCATCTCACGTTGAAATAAAAAATATTTATCATGACTATTGGCTGATTTTGGTTCCAAAACCATAGACCCCCAGGGGGTCCATGGGTAATACTTGAGGAGGTCTGGGGGATCCATAGATGCAAAAAGGTTAAGAACCCCTGACTTAGAGGATCAGACAGATGAACAAAAGAATAACTTTGTTTGACTCAATATTTTGAACTAGGGCAATTAAAGCAAGAAAATCAGAAATGTACAGGATTGTTATGAAACAAAGGGTCACTTTAAATTGCAATAATTGCAGAATGACTGGATGGAACTGGATCATTTTCAGTAAGATAATGCCTAACAACATATGGTTTAATTTATAAGTGGGATTACATCCATGTCCACATGTGCAACACAACATTCAGGCTTTGTGACATCCTGGTTGCTGCCTGTTCTCTTGAACTACTGCATCAGAGCTTTCAGAACCTATTCTTTTCAGGGACCATTGCAAAACATTATTTCTGTCCAATAGGCTAGTATGGCAGCAGTAATGAATTGCTGATTTCCACAGAAGAAACAAACCAATGCAGCAAGCTATACTGTGACCATCCCTGGCTTTCCTATTGTCTGAGCCAGGCAACAGACATGTGCCTTGTCTGGCCATAGCGCATGCAGTGTTGGTTCACTGTTACTAGGGGCATGGAGAATTCATTACAGCTGCCATACAAGGTGAATCCATCCAGCCATTATGCACTTATTGCAATTCAAAGTTTTCCATTAATTTGTAACAAGCCTGTATATATAAAAAATAAATTGAGCTAATAAATAATATAATACAAGTTGCCAACATTGTAGAGCAGAATGTTGTTCCATGGCTTAGAAATATCTATTACCACACTAACTGATTTATCTCATGGCCAATATGAAAAAAATTGTGCTGATTGAATCCTGGCTGGAATTAATGGTTCAGCCAATTGGTGAAGTAACTTAATTCAATTTACCTCATGAGATCATGAGACAATTGGCATAACAAAGATTTTGAATAAAAAGAGTTTCATGTATGAGGAACAACTCACAACATCAGTGGCAACAGCAGCATCTCCAAGGGCAGCCTTTACCTCATCTCTGAACCCATCTGGACACCCCTGATCATCTCCATCATTATCATTATCATCGTCATCTTCAACTTCATTCAAGCTCTCATCCTCACTGTCCATGTCCATTTCTCTATCTGAATCCACCTCTGAGCCTGCCTCACTCTCAGAGTCAAGGGAAAGTGGATTTTTCCCAGAATCCTCTGTGGATAACACCTGTTACAGAAATCAAAATACAGGAACAATGACTTTACTGTTCAGAACTTCATCACAAACTTCCACAATAGAGTAACACAAGCAAAAGAGCTTGAAATGATCATATAAACTCTATAGTTCTCATAGTTCAAGGTTTTTATTCCATCTGAGGTACCTTAATCAGACATGTAAAACATATGCATACCATGCATTGATAAGGGAATATAACATTTCTTATATCTCTTGGACATTTGCATGGCAGGTGGACAACTATAACCCCCACAGACTGCACAGCCAGTAGTGGAATGTTTTAATGACTTTAGATGTACACATGATATAAGCAAACTGTATATGGCATATGGAAGCATAAGTATTAAAGTTCTTTTCTTAATACTAATTATAAATTTCTATACCTCTACACAACTGCCATATTTCATGATAAATCATTTAAGATCCAATTTTTCAAAAGCTTAAAAAAAATTTTCCAGTTCATCCAAAAAATGTTGTTTTCATGAGAAAACAACTATTTTAGCATGACTCCATAAAACATAGTCCAATGAGAAACTGGTCAGGTGAACAAGGTGGCCAAGGAATTTGTCCAAATGTGGGGCAGTTCCAGAATGAAGTTTTCCAGTCAAGTGGTTTGGTGGAGGTAGAGGAATTGCTTCACTCCCTCTCATTCACCTGACTTGTTCCCATAAGTCTACTTTTATGATGCCATGCTGAAAGTGTTGTTTTCTCATAAAAACAACATTCTTACGATGCAATTTTAGCCAGGATCACAAAATGCAATTCATGAAATCACTCAGCAACAACCGGGAAATGTTTTTAAGTTTGGAAAATTGGATTGGATGATATATCATAAAATATGGTGGATATGTAGAGGCATAGAGATTTATACTTTTTATGTTAAAAACTTTAACAATGATGCTTTCATATGCAGTTTCCAGTTTGCTTTTATCATGTTATTAAAGTTATTAAAGTTTAAAGTTGCACAAGGACTTTATAAACACCCTGTATTAACAGTCTTTCCTCTGAAAGGATGGTTTTATCCTTTCTCAGGATAGTGGGTTCTACTAATAAATGAAAAAACTTGATATCATACTCTCCCACTTTGCACCCATAGACATCATAATGCTGTATAAGATGATGATGGTACTGATTTCCTCCCCAGTTATTTAATGGCTTTATTAACATAAAATGCATGACATCCCCAAGAGGAGCAACAGTGACTGTCAACAAGTTCTCTTTTCAGATAGTACCACAGAGAAATTTAAAGAAAGCTTTTCTAAATAATATCTGGTGGTCAAAAAATGCCACTTTCTTCTCTTTGGGCATGTCTGTTAAAAAAAAACAAACAAACCATGTTTTGAGGTAAGAGCAGGCCTGAAAAAGTGCAAGAAATGCCATTTCATTCCCAATGTGTCACAGTCTGGCATGCAATGAATTCCAAGCATGGCAATTGTGACACATGTTTCTTTGAAGAACTTGGAAAATAGGTTACTGTCAATGGCAATGGCTACCAGAAAATGCAGCAAGACTTCTTTATTTCATCCTTTGAAGAGAATGAGCTCACATAGGCATGGTTTTGACAAGAAAGTGCAAATATGACTAATTGCACTTTCTTGCCAAAACCACTGCTGCAACCACTACAGACCTTCTCCAAAAAAAGCTTTGGGTTCTGTGTCTGATTTCAAGGAGTGCACCTTTACAATGGCCTGCCAACAGCCCTGACTTATGGCTCCAGATTGCTGGTCTTGGGGATACCCCAAGAAGCTTGTCTATGATAAGTTTGTCTAATGACAAGCAAGATTTGAATCAGAAAATCCAGCACCAACCCGAGGGTTAGACACTGACACTGTTGCTAAGGTCAAGAACAATAACCTGACAAGATTGCAAATGTGCACAAGAAAGAATGTACAGCACCATGAAAATGTATTATGGGATACTGGTATCAATACAATTTTCAAACCCAACCTCTAATGCACATTATGCAATTGCATGGGATTGACAGAATTGATCATGTCTGTTGACAACATAGGAAAGTTGGGAAAAGTTTCATAAAGAGATGCGATTGCAATACTAGCAAACTCACAAGAAACAGGCTTTGAGGTGTTACAGCTCTTGAAAGTTTTTTCAACCTACCCTGTAAATTTCCACCCTGAAGGGGTGAGCTAAAGTTTGTGCCAAATTGAAATTATTACATAGCTGAAGAAGCAAGGTACCAGAACCCCCTAACACCAGTGAAATTTCAAAACATCAGACAAAATCTATTATTGGCACTTCTAATGATGCCCTTCAAATGAAAACTGCAGGAAAAAAACATAATGGCTGAGGATACTTACAGAAGAGATGTGGCGAAGGGAGAAGAGAGTAAGATGAGGAGCAAGGGATGCAAAGACAGAATTCACAATGCTTCTCAAGAGATGTGTCTCCAAGGAGAGAAGATTTAAGAGTAGATCCACCACCACTTCTACCCATTCTGGTCCATCTTCACACTTCACTCCTACAGAGCCTTGAGATCGTTTCCAGCACTCCTCCAGATCCTGTATTAGTAGCCCATAAGCCCTTACAAAATCTGACACTGCTTCCAAGATAGCAACTGCTATCACCATGATCTTCACTTGAAATATGTGAAGGAATCCCAATTAGATATTGGGATGAAAAGGAACTTACCTGAATGGCATCACAGGCAGGTTTCTCATCCATGAGCAACTGAAGACACATTTGAAGAAAGAGAACTTGGAATATGTGAAACTTCCACTCCTCACCCTCTGCCTTGTTCTTAGAATTCTGTCTCATCATTTTCCCCAACTCTAATGCTTTCTTCCAATACTCCTTCCCCTGATTGCAAAAATAATCAGACATGATTCAGTTACTTCCAAAGCTTCACCAGAGTCAAATATTCATGGCATCTGATGCAAAATAGTGAATGAATGATTAACTCCTTTACTACCTTGTACAATGATTAACCCCAGAGGTGTTTTAATTCTGAGCATGAGTCAATCCCATGGTGCCTTCATTTTTAAGCACTGCTGATCTCCCTTTGTATACACCCAAATTAAGGGCCATATCTCTTAACCATTTCACCAACTTTTCTCAATCAAAATTTATTTTGCACAGGAAAGATCAAGCTACATTGCAGGATCCTTCATTTCCTACTCAACTTCAAAAATTTTCAAATTATCATTTTGAGCATCACCTCTGATGTCCATCTGTTGCTCTTGTTCACTGTCATCACTTTTACAGTCTTCACTCACTCTATCACTGGATCATATCACTTCATCATATTCTGATGAACTTACATCATCAATATCATCATCACATTCAGATAATAATGCCAAAATTTCACCACATCAGTCTCAGGCCTACAGCACTTGGAGGATGCCATATTTGTTGCAGAAGAGTGTGATGCTTTAGATGGATATCAAATATTTCTATTTTGGCACTACCAACGACTCACCAGAAAGTAAGTTCACAACTTACATGAAGTGATACTAGACAGTGAAGACCATGGGTGCAATATTACAGTGTAAACAAGGAGATAAAGTATGGACTACACACCTGTGTAACATTACATCAAAACATTAAGACTGCAAGATTGATTTACATATTACATAAAAAACACTCCAGGAGATAAAGAACTCCTGCAAATGCTGGCATATAATATCATCTGTTTAAGTGGGAGGTATTTTGAATGAGTAATCTATGAATGTATGCATGAGCTGTGACTCAATATACCAAGATTGCATGGTCCAGTAGACCTACCTGCTCGCTTAGCTGTCGAATGGGTTTTGCTTCCTCACTGTGGTGCAGAAGGAGATCCAGGAACTTGATGACACGATAGAGAGTGTTCCCCCAGTCAGAGATATGAGAGGATGGATGGTCAAGGGCACGAAGGAGGGACTTCTGCAGGCCCCTGGCTACATCACCATTAATAGGGATATCTATTACATCCAATGATGTCCCTGGAATTCCTCCCTCTATGCTAAATAAGGAATGCGCTGCCAGGAAATGCAGGTAACTCTCCTGAATTTCACTGTCTTCATCCCACTTCTTTGATAGAATCCTGGAGGAAAAACAAAATGAATTGGAAAGCAGAAAACAGAAACAAAAAAAAAACAATTGAAGGAAAGTTTGAATGTTTGTACAGCTAAAATATTTGACCTAGAGTAAAATAAACTAAAATTACCTGAGATAAGTGAAAATTTGCAATTTTGTGGATCTAAGTTAAGCCCACTGCAATATAGGAAGGCTGATCTTGTCATAATAATTGAGCTTTGAAACTGGAGCCTAATGTGACTGACAGACTAAGTAAGATACCTTGCCATGATCTGGGAAGCAGTAACTTTCTCCAGATTGGAAGAACTGTACTTCCCCTTGATGACATCTTCACAGGCTCCCAGAACAATCAAAAGGGTCTGAGTATCTTTCACCGAGGCAAGTGTTCGACGAAGAATTGGCTCCCCTAAACCAATGGGAATTAGTGATGGGTAAGAAGATGATGGAGAGCAAAAAGCATCACAGACACCGGATGTTATGAAGAGAACATACGAGGGGAGAAGAGGATTTTGTCAATGATGGGAGAACCAGGAGGTCGAAGAAGGCGTTCCAGTGTGGCTCTTCGGATCTCTTCCTGCAAGTCACTAGAAGAGAGGAACTTGGCAAGAGCTTCCAGTAAATTGGTCATTGTTTTGTCTTTCCCCACTTTTCCTTTTCCTCCCCCTTGTCCTTTCCCAGGGCCATGGACTTGGGAACATGACTTGACCAGCAGAGCAATGAATGTTTCACTCTCCAGGAATCCTTCCTGAAAAATTCATATCAAACCTTAACATTCTATGGTATATAGATGTACTGCAGATACAACTGTATGTATGTGGGTCATTGGACAGGCCCTATGAACAAAACAAAAAAAGTCAGAGTGAAAGGAAACCTACCCATCTTCATTCTGGTGAAGAAGGGAATGGGACCTCATCAGAGATGAGATGAGGAAGGGGGGCATACTCAGGAAGCAAATGAGATTCAGCCAGCCACTTATTCTGTGCTAGCTTCTGCTATCCATGCAGATTCGTATTCTCATTTATTGCAGTTTTAATTATGATAATTTACAAATGAAGCACTTATTTAGACGATACTTGGTCTCAGAGCTACGTCTATGGAAAGTTTTGTTTCACAGCTTCACACAGATTTGGAGATCTTTTGAAAAAGCAAGCCCCACCAGAAAACTGGCTTCATGAATCACTTAGAGCAACCTTTACACCTTCAAATTAAACTCTTACTTGCCCAGTCCCAGAATTACATATACAACTATGCCCATTTTTGGAATCACTCAGTTTGTGAGATTCTTTTGAAACATCCACTAAAAAGGGTGAAACCATACTTCTCACTTTTACTTACACATGAAGCAGGAAGAACAAGGAAGTAAGACATTACCTGCAATGCTCATGTACATCTGCAATCATGCAATACATGGATTCTGCTCAAATGGGCCATTGGTTAATGATGGCAGCCAGTTTATTGGGACATTTTGTCAGGAATGGAATAATTTCTATGCAAGTGCATTAAAATTTCACTGCATATTTGGGACGAAAATCCACTTTATTGGGGCAAGGTTGGAGTCAGGGTCAGGGGGAGCTGTCAGTCTGAGATGGGTTTTTCCGTTTCTTCTGCGGATGTGAGCCATTGGTTTGGGTTGGGTTTTTCCTTTTTTTTTCTGGGGCATAGTCCTGGGTGGGTTTTTCTGTTTGTTGTAGATTTAAGCCATCTGTCCAGGATTGGAGTCCACATCAATGTTCAAGATGTCGAAGTGCAATGCTTTGTCCCTCTGTGAGATCGTGCTCCTGGACAAGGTTAAATTGCACGTTGAAGAACATACAACTCAAATTCCTGCCCCCGAACGTGACATCGATCATCCAGCCGATGGACCAGGGTGTCAACAAGAATCTGAAGACTCTTCACAGGAAGGAGCTCATGCAATGACTCTTGCAGCTATCAAAGACAACCTGATAAGCCTGTCGTCCATGGCCATCAACGTGAGTTCTCAAGTCTTGTTCCTCACTGCCGTTTGCTCTGTGGCTAAGAGCTGGCAGGCTGTCAAGTCAGAGACCGTCACAAACTGCTTCCATAGAGCTGGCTTTCATTCTGGACCAGAGGTGCCAGCGTCGACCTTTGAGGAAGGTTTGGTCATTCTTGATGTCACTAACGGAGAAGCTCATGTCAACATCAACAAACACGTACCATGCTTTGCCGAATGCAATAACTTCAAAGGCAATATATCTGATTGGAAAGAAAGTTCTCGGAATTTCTTGAATATCCAGTACAATTTTTTTCCAGAGCATGCTAGATGAGATGATTTTGCTTTTAAATAAACTGGGTTGTAATAACTGTTCATGAAATTCCGAGAACTTTCTTTCCAATCAGATAGTTGAGGAAATTGTTGCCAAAAGGCCTTGTTTGAGGGATGACGCAGACGAGGAGCCTGAGACTTTACCAAAGATGACTCACGTTGAGGCCAGGCACTCAGTGGACATCCTTCAGTGCTACTTCATTGAGCAAGGATTGGGCAATATAGCACATGCTGCTCTTGACACTTGTGCTGAAGAAGTCTTTAGAAAAGCTTTTTCAGACATGAAACTAGGAACTATGGACAAATTCCTTGAATTGTAACTCTTGTTTTTTTTGCAAATGAAGGACATTTCTGTCTGGGTTTCTCATTATTCTTTACTATAAGTTAACTCTGCTTAATTGGGGCAAAACGACCTGGAACCAATGTGTCCCAATAAAGCGGAATCCACTGTATTGTACTTTTATAGTTCTGATCATGAATGGTGATTATGAAGTCACTTTAACTGTTTACAGCACACTAGCATAGAAACTATGCAGCATAGATGAGTGAAACTTAGGGAAATATTTTCAAAACATCAGAAGAAAATGTTACATGGAAAATAACTCATCATTGAAGGAGACACTGCAGATGTGATGTCCTTAGTAGACAAAGCATGTGCTAATATGGATAGGCAAAGACAGCTGTGAAGCACTAAGCTGGTTAAGCTGCCTCTACATTGAACCTGTTTGAGGTTTAACATTGCAAATGAGCTGTTAGCTGCTCATAGGCAAGCATCCTTACATATAATGTCAGAAATGATTTTCAGTGCTTAACCACAGCTTTTTACATACTTAATCATTTCTGTATCACTGTGAATACAAATGACATCACATTAGTAGTACCACCTGAGACATGTGGATTTTTCAGTTTCATAGTTTTCTCCAATGTTATGAAGCTGTTCCCAAGTTTCACTGAGTTGCAATGCATAGTTTTCAAGCTGGAGAGCTGCAAACCCTTCAAGAAACTTTATTATCACCCTGTCCATCATGCTATTTTGTACCATACAGTATATATGCAAATCTTCAGGATTAAGAGACTGCACTTACTTCCTAACCTTAAATCTGAGACTCATGCATATCAAAGTCTGATTTACAGGACTACTGACAAGTTTCTGCTATCCACAAATATTCTCACAGGTGATTGGATCTAAATTTAAGTCATTTGCCAATGTCGGACATAATGTATTTTTCATTTTTTGAGCTGCACTTGAAAGAGCTAGAGTCATCCAATGATACACAGATTATAACAAGCACTGGTTTCTTTCAAATGATTTTTTCATTAGCAATTTTTTGATGATGTATGGTCGCTTGGAGGACTGACAGTTGCCTATCACCAGTCTTAATTACAGCCCTACTGGACAATATTTTCTCTTTTTACCTTTCCCTTGACAGGTCAATGAAGAACCATGAAGTTTGCTAGGAAATTCCATCATTGGATGGTCTACAGTTTAACCCTATGTCTCATAGAGGTGTTTTGAAACACATAATAGTTTTGAACGTCTGCCATGCAGTGGACAGCGCCACCACCCCACCAGTCCATTGCTGCATCCCTGGTGCTATCCAGGCTGCTTGCTGACTACAAGCTACACTTCATTGTTGCTTTGGCTGTTGGTGAGGGAAATTGTATTGCCAAAGCAAAGGAAACGAAAAAAATAAATTGTCAAAAATTTTGTGGAAGCAGAAAGTGTGAACCTGAAGGTAAGGAAAAATAGTGCGCTGTTGTTGTGATTGTCTTATAGACATATGGCAACTTTTCTAGTTTTTTCTTAAGTGTTGGTTGGTGACAGGGTGACGTTTCAGTGGTGTGTTTGAAAACACAGGTTTACTTCTGAACATATATGGAGTGTTTCCTTGTTTTTTCCCTTACATTCATAGAGGTGTTCAAAAACATATGCCTGGTTCAACTAGCAGCAGGCATGCAAAAATCTTGCCAAAAATGCAGGCATTCCTTGGCAACATTTAGAACATGTGAGACCTAAAACCGCTAAAATAAATCTTAAAAAATAATCCAGTGATGCATAGGGTTAAGCAAACAGCCTTCAGCCACTTATGTTGGATCCAATTCTGGAAGGTTGCTATGGGAATAAAACACAAGAAATACCCTCAGGAAGCCCCTTATAATAGACAATCAAAGAATTCCACCAGGCTTTACTTGTAAACAACAAGAAAGGTCAGCTAAAGGAGAATCCCAAATAACATCTTCAGCTATCTCATCCTTCATAGTTAAGATCATGGAAGGCAGTACAACCAGAGGTGCAAGAAGGTTAACAAGGCTAAAAGCAGGCATGCTCATGACTATTGTTTTCCCTAGAAAACTCATATGATACAAGTCATGTCTAGATATAGTCTCTTGGACATTTTACAGCTTCCCATCATTTCAATTTAGAGCAAAGAGTTTTGAAAAATGTGGAAATGCAGTTCAATGGGGGAAGTTTAAGAGTAATCCAATAGAAATGAGAGTAAGAAAGCTCTTCAGAAGCATTCCCACCATCCTATGGAGAGAATGACTTACCCCCATGAGTGCTGGTGAGGAAGAGAGCATGGCATGAATGAGATGGCAAGCAACCTGCATCCTATCCTTTGGAGGGGATCCCTGAAGAATGGGTGCAAGGCCTTGTTGCCAAAAGGTCCCGGCTGCCTGCTTCTCCATCACATATGCTCCCAAGCAAGGAAGCATTGGGTGACATTGAGGCAGTTGTACCACACATCTCTGTAAAGGACAAAAGTATTTGTCATGTGAAAGGTTAATATTCAAGGACTCCTGCTCAGGCTGGTTCCGTCTCAGTCTGAGACCAAGGTCATTGATGGTGAACTGATGGTAAAAGGAGGTGATGTATTGCACAACATGTCTCATGGGAGGCAAATTAATCATGTGAGAGGCATTCTGAGAAGGAAGGGTCCCAACATGGATGATGCAGGAGAACAGAATTTTCAAAAGAAGGTGCAAGACTGATGATCCTGAATAATCAGGATGAGGGGCATCTAGATAACATATTCCATGAAATCATATCCCATGAAAAATTCCACGAATTAGTCTGTGTGCCCGGTCAAAATCAAATTTAAATCATGCAAATATGAACCTAACTGCAATAGGAAAGCTCAAATGTAATACTTTGTATAAAGAAACAAAACATTTTTTCAGAGATATTGCTTCTTCCATCAAATACTTCCTGTTTCCTGAGATGCTTCTAATTTTCAGAAATGGTTGCCCAATAAAATAATATCCAGAACCTGTTAATCAGGTATGTAGTCATCCCACCTTACACTAGATATTAACTGTAAGACGTGAAATGCTTAAATTTCACTCCATGTGTTGGGATTTCATTTTACCTATCCATCATGGAGTTATTTGAAGTTTTATCTGAGACTCTCAGAAAGGCATGAAATACCTTCACTCACCATGACAGCTTCAACAACATTTTGCAACATCTTGGGCTTCAATAGGGAGCTGGAACCATAACGGTCCTTGAGGACTTTCTTGCCATGAAATGCTTGAGGGAAACATAGGGAGCATTCAAGAAAAATCCACAATCCCTCTGGGTCCAACTCCTCTTCATTGCGCAAATACTCCATGACTTTAGAGCATATATGATCCTGGAAGACTTCCACATCCAACTGGAGAACAATGGAAATTTCTCATGTGAAAAGAGAATCAAAATTTTACAGATATCAACAATAGTCTGTACAATAATTCTGCTATGACATGTTAACCATTCCCAAATCCAGAACCTGCAGCTAATCCCTGAAATCTCCCCTTTGACTCTTAGTATTATTCATATGGTTATTCAAGAGCATTTAGTCTTGCTGCAAAATACATTACTACAATGCATAAAGATGCTTGAAAGAGGAACAGAATGGCTTGTGTGGTACAGGGTGTTCAAAAAGTCAGGACACATAAGGACTTTGCCTCTTTAGTGCAAATATTGTTAGGTACCCTTTGCTATATATTACATTTCATATTTACCACTTTTACAAAATAATCATTCAATATGAATCAATTGATTATCAAATTGAGGACATTAGTGCAAGCCATTGAACTAGACTCATGAAAACCCAAATTAAGCTATCTACAATGCTGTAGGATTTACTTCAGCACTTTATCTGGGATGGCTAAAGCAGCCTCATTTGTGTGACATTTTGCAGGGACTGCAGTTCATATTTATTTCATATTTACCTGATTTTCACAAATGACTATAACTATGAACTATAAATGACTATAACTAAAACTAAAAAAATATACTAAAAGTATCCTACACTTCCCAAATTCTTCGAACAGGTAAAATATTCATTCTGAAGCATGTGTGCCTTTACTTAACTTTCCTGTAAAAGGGTGCATGCATCTTTACTCAAACTTTGGATATAGAGCTTTATACAGAGCTGTATACACTTGAAAGCAAAGAATTTTCCTAGATGCAATAGGTGAAAATTCACTTCAGAGCATATATGCCTATAAGTGGGGGATTCACAGTGCTTACAAAGAAAAATTTTTAAAGTCATTGCATTCATAGTACCTGAAGTGCCAAAAATATGAAAATAAAAATCATATGATGAAGCTGACTAAGATATAACTCGAGCTCAATTTCAAGAAAGGGAATGCTAAAAAATGTTTGCATTCACAGAAGAGGTTATTTTGACAGAAGCAGAATGTTATTTGTAATTTGTCCACCATTGAAGAGAATGTCAGGCAAGTTCTCCCTTTCTGAGGGAGCATTGCAAGAAAAGAAAATGCAGATTAAGGATACCAAGGACTGTACTTGCTGGCTGTGAAAGTGCCACAGATGGAGGGAATTCTCCTTGTGAGCTCACCGAATGCAGCAATTGAACCAAGATGGAAGCAGCCATGACACGAAGAAATGCCTTCTTCTTTAGGAGAGAGATGAGCTGTCCTGTAACATCCATGATGACATCAGAACCCGTCAAGAGACTGCTCTGGATCATGGCACTCACCAACAGTATCCTACCAATTTGGGCATCACCCATCTCCTGCAGTGGAAATTACATTCACTTGAAAGAGTCATTAAATGCAATGCATTGGCCAAATGCTTTCTCTTCCACATCAAATGCCAGATCCCATGAACTCTCTTGGCACTCTTCAGATAACATTGTCCCTGTGTCCTTCCAAGTCTTCAAATTGAATTTAAAAAAAAATAACTGACAAAAAAGAGGATAATGTGTTAATGGGGAAAGTTCATCTTTAGCATTGATACGGGATACACTTATGGAGAAGCACCAATATGGCAGTGCTTTTTCAATCTTTATGAACCCCATACTCTCAAATCAGATCAAAACATACCACAGCCCTTGTGACCTGTGGATATGCACACTCTGCAATAACAATCCAGCAGAGCATTATAACCTTTCAGAGAATTGTGCCCCCATACTCTGTTCTTTTTGGCAAACCTTTGCAACTTCCTGCAGTTCCCCTGTCTTCCTCTCCCTGGATTCATGATATGAAGGGTACACACAAATGTTTTGGGTTTGAGATAATAATTTAAAAAATTAATTGCCTTATCTTCCTAATTTCAGAGAAGATAAGAAAGGACTAGGATAGAAATGGTTAGACATGCCTTAGACAATGAGCCAATTGAATTTGACTCCATGGGCAACAAGGTTGATAAGACTGTTCCATAATAGGGAGAGTAAGCATTTCAGGCCTTTTTTTCTTCAATAAGAGTGGTCCTGTGGGAATTTACACACTTCCTGCTCACACAGGTCCTGTCACCATATATACATGGGATTTTCAGGCATTGTAATATATCAGCAGACACTGAAGGAAAGTGTGAGAATCAAAGTTTGCAGGTGTATGAGTGATTATGGACCCCTGCATAACCTGGTAACATGAGAGAGAGAAAATATAGAAGGGAAGAAGTATGGCAATGAGATGGCTGATGCTGATCAGGAACCTTGCTTTTTTTTTTCTTTTCTTCTACTACTCTCTTATCCTGCTGTGATGGCCTCAAGTCCCTTCTCTATTGTAACCCACATTACATCCTCTTCCATATCAATCTTTCTTCTGTTCTTCTCTTTCCCCATTCTTCACAGTTTCCAAATGATCACATGCTATGTTGCTGATGAATCGATGCACCATCAATGATTCGGGTCATACATCGATGTTTCCAAAACTGCAACCGTGACAGTCTAGTTGGCACCAAGTTAAGGTCAGACTTCTTACACCTTCCCCATTCATTCCTTACCTTTCCTCTTCAGATTATTGTTCAACTGAAACCTCCTGCAAATATTTCAAATTTTCTCACAGCGAGATCTCCCCACATTTTCTCTTCAAACTACTGACCATTCTATACCATGCAAAAGTCCTTCAACCCCCCCCCAACCTAAAGGTGAAAAGCCTAACATATCCACTGCATGCTTTTCTCATGCCTTTCTTTTCCCCATAGTCCACCTATCCTCTGTCTGTAGGTGCATCCAAATACTAAAGGGTGGTGCAAAGTAACCTGCCCCCCTATCTCCAGACAAGCAGAGTTTGACTGAAAACAAAAGTTGTCCTTGATTTCTAATTATCACACCATATTATGCATAAAATATAAACATTGAGTAACCAACATACACCTTAAAAAGGCTCTGATTCTGTTAGGCTAAAATTTCAACAAATTTCTTAAGAAATCAGCATCACCTTCCAAGGTGTAAAAAGCTATCAATTTTTTCTCTCAATCTCCATTGAAAATTGACTGTTTCGTTCTTCATGCATCATTTCTTCCATTTGATCTTTCATTATGGCACCCAGATGCTTGCAAACATTGTGATTAGGTGGGTTCCTTGGTCAATCAGTTGAACCCTCTTCATCTGAAATCTCAAAATACTTCCTGAGGTAGGATATTAGTAATGGAGAGCGATGATAAGGTGATACTCTTGAATTCAGAAAGGGTAAGTAGAGTAAGGCCAAGTTCATACTCATGCTGTACAACATGTACAGCAGTGGCAAAATCCAATCCAGCATGGGCATGTTGCATTGGACAATATGCAGTTGCAGCATCCAGCATGCTGTACAGCACGAATATGAACTCGGCCTAATGAAGATACCTGCAATTACGCCATCATGGATTACAGATAACCAACAGAGATAGAGACTACATGATGTCCGAAGATTTAATTGTGAATGTTGTGCAGAGAACTAAAGAGATGGGACAAGGAAAATATGCTCCTACCAGTGATCCTTTGAGTGCAATCTCATGGTGTAACTGAAAATGTGAGTCAATATTTAAGCAAGATGGTTCATGCTGCTTGATTTAAAACAAATCTAAAGGTACACCAGCTCATTACAAGTTCAACAAACAAGATCTAGCCTGGTTTGATAAGACTGAAAATGGATACAAGAGCAGGTTGAATCTTACAGTTTTACTACTGGATATGGATTTCAGGAACTTGTCAGCAAGAGTCAGGAGATGTTGAGGCAGGATTTTCCCCCTCAGTAATGTCAGCAGCTCAACAAGGCAGGCATAGAATCCAGGGCGTGCTGCAGCACGTGATGACGCCAACCCTCGCACCAGCCTCTCCAGGCAGTAATTTACTTCTTTAGGCAATTCAGACCCCTAATAAAGATAGAGACAGAAATAAAGGATCATTAAAAAAACATGTTGGCATCAGCACAGAATGTACTTATTTCAGAGTAACCTATTGTGTGAAAAGTGCAATTGTAGGACTATTCTTTCAATATCACAATGCATTAATTTAATCTGCCAGAGGCACTCCATACATTTTAATGCCATATTTATTAATATGATAGCTATTTTTTTAAAACTCTTTCAGTCCTGAATTATGTTCTAAGCATGGAAAAAATATATAATATTTTTTGGGCATCAACAAGGCTTACGTAACATAAAAGTGCTTTTAAAATGGTTTCCTCTAGTAAAATTAAATATTTATTTTAATCATTTAAAGATATTGAATAAATTAATAAAATCATGCAATTCAGCATAGTTCAAATTGCAGTTCAGCTAGTACTCATCCCTATTTTGCACTGTATGTTTCCTAGTACTTCTGTAATACTTTCCATTATCTAGTTTAGAAAACAGAAAAAATTGGTTGGGAAAGAAATGTCTTAGCTGAAATAAATATAAATGACAAATTTTTTAAGTGCCAGAGGAAATACAGCAGCTTTATACAGGATGGGTCATTTATATCTGACACATTCATTCTCATAATAAATCAGGACTGAACAAAATAATGCAAGCTGTCATTATATCAAAATGAAGTACAAACATGGGAAATTGTGACACTAATTATCTACATCTACATTATCTAATTGTCTACATCTTAAAAATCAAATTCTTTAAATTCTGTTCTTCACAATTGATGCATTCCCTGCATCAAACCACTACATTCTTCAGTATTGTCCTCAGTGTGTCAGGTGAGGGATTTTGGCATTTTTAAGGCAACAGTTTGAAGAAAGGATAATTTCTTGGTTCAGCATTATTTTATGGCCACCCAGATCCCTAGACCTGTCTGCACCAGATTTTTTTGTCTGGGGAATATTGAAGAGCAAAGTTTACAAGACATGTCCCAGAAGTAGAGATAAACTCAAAATTAGGATTTAAGAATCCATCACTGCTATTGGTGAAGACACACTAAGGACAATAATGAAGAATGTAGTGGTCTGATGTAGGGAATGCATCAATTGTGAAGAACAGCATTTAAAGAATGTGATTTTTAGGATGTAGACTTGTGATAGTGCAACAATTTCCAATGTTTGTACCTTGCTTTGATATAATAACATCTGGCAATACTTTGTCCAGTCCTGATTTATTACAAAAATAAATGTGTCAGATATAAATGGCCCCTTACTGGGGACTGCTGTCAATTTGAAAACAAGTGATGAACTATCATAAACAAGGACTCATAATCATGCCATGGCTTCAGGGTTGTGCATTCCTACATAGCCCTTTAATGTATGCAAAGAAAATGGAACTCCTGAGTGCTGCCAGAACTGAAAGGGTTTAAGTGCCATCTACATTTAATCAAAATAGACCAGTTATTTTATTGGGTGATATGAAAAAATGAACACCCACAGAGCAACACCAGTCCTGTCATTGACCTCACTTGGTGGGACAGAAAAGTGGCAATTTTTGTTTCATTTTAAGAAAGGTCTCAGTAAAATCTCATGAAGACTTTGTGTCTGCTGTTGGCATTGAAGCTGTGATTCAACACCTCTGTGGAGAACAGGTTTAATAATTCAAGAGGTTTATTAGGATGACCAACAATCCATGTGAAGTTTGTCCTGCTTCAGCCACTGCCATTGATGGGGAAAATTTCTGCACAGTCCATGATTGTGGAGGACCTTCATGTGACCAACATCTATATTGAGAAAACTCCTGAATTTGGATCCACAGTTTCAAAGGTCTTGCACTACTTTTTGGGTGTCAGGAAAAAATATTCCCATTGGGTACTTCATGCTCTGAGCCAGGCTCAAATGGAGGCTTTAGTCAATATCTCCCAGAAAATGCTGAAAACATTCAACAGAGGCTACTCAAAAACGATCTGCATCATCTTTGGTGATGAAGTGCAGGTATAGCATTATGGTGCCTCAATCAAATGTCAATCTTAAGTCTTGCTGCTTGACAGTGAAGGTTCCATTTTGGTCCAACACAGCATGGGATACCCAATATGCACAGATTTCCCTCACATCCAAATGGTGGAGCAAGAGTGTTGAGACTGTTGATCCAATTTTATGAGTCTCCTTGGTGACAGCACAGGTTCTATGAGGGTTCTCTACAATCACAAGTTTCACAGAAGTAACATTTCCTTCAGCACTGGCTGAAATAGGGCAAGCTTCATGAGTATTGTGTATGTTAAAACAACTTCATGTGAGTCTTCAAAACCAGCTTTTCACAGTGGTAGCAGATGGCACTTCAGAGCCAAAACTGGCAAGCAGGATGAGGATAAGAAACCATATTGATAATAAAAGTTACTTTAAAATATGCCTTTTGTAATATTGTCAAAAAGAGCACTTCTTTAGAACTTATGGAATGCTTATTTATAAGTATTCAAAATAGAAAATATGACACAATTACAAGACCAGAGAACAACACTTGCTTTCCAAAGCTAAATTCTAGCAATGGGTACCATAACACAAAATTTTATATTTCCATTGTTGTATTGACAATCCTTCTAAAATTGCATGAATACAGTAACAACTATTCAAAACTTTAAAATTGGAATTTGCATTCAAACTGCTCCAATTACTTAACATATGGATCAAGCAGAAGGAGATTGGGTGACAGATTTCCCATGGAGATGTGCAGGGAGATATGAGTGCATTTTTTCCCAGTCTTGAAATTCTCTCACAGTTATGCAAATTCTGCATGTAACCTGACAATGGAAATGCCTTATTTATGCTGCAAATTGGCTGAATAAAGATTTTTTAAATGCACTCATAGCTTTGGGAAAGAATAGAATACTCAACTATACCTTTGAAGGCAAACACAATATTATTAATTAATCATGCAATTATTATGATAGATGGCAGAGAACATGCAAATGCCAATAAGCAAATGGCTTAATATTACATGTCAACATAAGGTTAACATGAACCTGGATCTCATGTTGCTTGGCATGATTGATGATGACAATAGCTGCATTGATTCGAGCCTTTTCTTTCTTCTCAGCTAGCTTCCAGAACTGCTCCAAAAGTTTGCTGGAAACTTTATGCACTTTTGTTGCTGCTCCTTCCTCATCAATGTGCACATCTTGGACCATCATTGAAATAGATACCAACCTGAAGGTGAGAAGTGACAACATGAGCATCCTAGTGGATCTAATATGGATATGGAAGAGTGAAAATACTGGGGGAATAAATAAAAAAACATGCAGCTTGACATTTTAATTTTAAAAATCATTCATTAGTATAGTACTGCATGTTTCAGGATACATGCATCCACATCTTGTCTTCCATTCAAAAACTTTTAAGAGTTTTTTTCCTTCAAGTTTAGCCACAGGAGCATTTTGAAAGTTGCAAATAAAATTTCCATGAATCCCTGCATGCTGGTTGCCTCTTGCCAAAAATGAGCAGTCAATATGCATGGACAATTTTGCTCCAACTTGTTTGTCGTCAGTTGTGACCATGCAATTGACCATAGCAGCAAAACAGTAATGGAGGCTATTTTCTAAACAAAATTGCACCCTGGATTCAATGAAAGAGAGACTCTTCAATGAAAACAGCCTATTCTTGTCATCCAGGCACAAGGCCATCTCTTGTGCATAAGTTTTGGTGGATCTCCCTGAACTCACTAGGATTTCCAAATGTTTTAATATTGAATTTGGAAGTGCTTGTTTGGCTAAACCAGGATTGGGAACATTCTAAAATAAATATATGTTATAGAAAACATGTACATAGAGCCCTTTTGAGGCATACACAGCAGTAGCTTTCACTGTTTCAAGTATGAACATGCATATAGCTGCTTATTTTCATGCAGTCAGTATGTGTCTAGGTGATGTACTGGGGTGTTCAAATGAAAGGGAACTTTTAGATCCCTACTTTAGGCCACCCTCAGGCTATGAGTTACAGCCAATGTCCCCTTTTCATTTAAACATTCCTTGGATATTGGCTGAGCAGACTTAGCTACAACTTCCACATTAGAGCAAGATTAAAACAATATCCCTGCTTAAGATAGACCTGGGGGCCTATCTACTATGGAATCCTGGTCAAACAGGGGACCTTTCTATGCTAAATCTTCACAATTAGCTTTCCTATCCATAGAAATTCTGAGAGACCCAACAACAACATGAGGATGATAGGAGGTAATGGTCAAACCTGCCACAGTTGGCACTGATATTCACGTCATCCACTAATGAGCTGGTAATTACTTCAGGCCTACCAGATTTCAACCTTCAAGGACTCGTTTCAACAACAACATAGAAGAACCCTTGTGCTCGAAAGCCATCTGCATCGCAACAATTTCTCTAATGTGACATTTTATGCCTCTAAAATGTACTAATCTACTTCCATCCCACCATGCGCTAGTTTTCTCACTCTTCGACCCTTTAACCGGGAGCAAGTAAGCAATAGTGGACGACTTCTTTCCCATGACTACCCGATCTCCAAACCATGCCGTCCACCGGTCTAAGGGGGCAGCCATTCCTCCAGTGTTGCTATAATGTCAATCCATAGAGATCGTATATACGTATGAAATCGTATGATCGTATGAAATATAAGATCTCTATGTGTCAATCATCTAACACAGTGGTGCACAACCTTTTCCCCCTAGAGAGTCAAATTGAGATTTCGGCTCATGTTCGAGGGGTTCGAGGGACAGCGGCCCTGGAAAATGAATCAAAATAGGCTGCATATAAATATTGATCTTTAGGGAGACCGGAGGCATCCAAGGGGCCGCAAAAAAGGTCTCTGCGTGATGCACATCCCGCAGGAGGCCCGCAAGATGTGCATCACTGATCTAACTCATACAGTTATTTGTGAATAAATGAGTACTACTTTTCATATTATGCATAGAATTTCATGATACATGCATATAGGTCAGAATAAAGATTTTTAATGATGGATTTGTGCGACGGATGATACGAATTCATTTGCAATTCATCAGGGGAAAAACCAGGTAACAATTTACGTTGGCCTAACGTTTGATAAGGCGGGAAAGGTTGGCCCCCACTCCAGTAGCACCAGATATTGGCTCAATGTTGGGCCAACATTGGGCACGTTGTCTATATACATCTACATCTGCAAATCTTAGCACAGAAGCCTGCTTAGAAAAGGACTGAGATGACACACTGCTCTCCTCCTCCGGATCCAGCAAGGACCTTCGGGGGGTTTTAGTACAAGTCTACGAGCACTAAGGCACTACATCTATAATAGATGGGATTGGGTTCCCTACCCTCTCCTAATCCTGTACACTTCTGAATTTCCACACATAACTTCAGCATTTAATAATTCCCCGGGTCTTATATTGCTATAAAAACATCATAATTTCACGATTTCCTAGTACCTGCTTATAAATTGCACATTATAAAAAAGGAAAAACGAGAAGAAACACTTTTGCTAAATCAGGAAGGAGGTATACCTCATTGCATTTGTAGGGTGCAGGGAATAGGGGTACCATCTAATGGGGACTCTTGGTACTGCATCTAGGAGAGTGCCAGCTACATGCTCTATCCTGAACTGGTGGAGGGCCCTCATGAATAAAATCAAAATAATGGACACGAGACGAGATTCAAGCCGTGAAAAGCAGCTCAGAATCAGCTCAGAATCTTAGGGATGAATGTAGAAGCAGAAAGTCAACTCCACAGAAGAACGAATCAATCATCAGAGATTACAGCTGTAAATAATAAATTTACACCCGGAGGTTTTCGTTTTCTTCTGTGTCGGCTAGTTCTTCCTTCTTCGGGATTAGACATTCCCGACCTCCTGATCCATTTTCCTTTGGCAGTAGATTTTTCCCGATCTTTTCCTCCCGTATCATCAAGCGTTTGGATGTGCGGCATCTTGATACTGGGAAATGACCTCGGTTCCCATCTACACGATGATGAAGAAAGTTCCCTCGTTCGACGCATCAGATCTTGTAAACGGTTAGGCACAGGATCGTGAAAATTAATACAAATGCTACAGGGGCCACGGGGAAGACAATACAGTATGTGTCGTGTGTTGTCCACAAAAGCGAACAATTTGCCCATTTATGATAGTCGTGTTCAATGTGTGCCCCTCCATTATCCACAACACCACCAAACTTTTGGTTGCGGGGGTTTCTGAAGTCTTGCGTGTACCGAGGAACCCCACACACGTTTCCAGACCTTAAAGATGCCATCGTCAGGGAGGTGGCCAGCATACCTGAGGATGTGCGACGTGCCTCTGTCATGTCTATTGTCACACGAATGCTATGCATAGTGGATAATGGAGGAGCATTCATTGAACACAACTGATTATCAGAGGGCCATTTGTTCAATTTTGCTGATAACATATGACACGAATTGCATTGCACCCATGACCCCTGTAGCATTCGTACTAATTTTCACGATCATGTGTCAAACCGTTTACAAGATCTGATGCGTTGAACGAAGGAACTTTCTTTATAATCACCCGGTATATTACTAATGAGTGTAAATGTCTGTGCGAGGCCGTTTCTCCTCCTAGTCCTTATGACCCCTGACCCTGAAACTCGAACCTTAAGCTCCCTTGGGGTGGATCATCAGGACGAAGGAGTTTGGTGACCGATGGGGCACAGGGCCGCCTTGAGTCACCTGACATTTTTCATCTAAAAGAGCTGATTCTTTGTTTATGGAGGTAATGAAACCCCCTGAGTTCGCCAGTGAAGTTCATTTTTTGAGTGACATTCCCCTCTGAGACATTGGAATTCAAAAGGTCAACATTTTAGAGGAATTCTGCCGGATGGGGAACTCCTCCGTGATCGAGCAGGCAGGTGGCGCAATATGTTCAACATGGGCTACCCTATGGCTCAGGGCTATGTGCTGATTCTGTGTATTGACCGACGCTGCTGATCTTACGGTCTCACGGTGATCCCGTTTCTTTTCCCCATTTCGTGCGATCCCGGCTGCTGCTACCCACAGGAGTGCGTCGCCGGCCCTAGATGCTTCCCCGACACGTCTGAAGCCGATTGTGTTCGACTTCTCTCTGTCCATATCCGAATAAATCCTGACTTGTATTAACTCGGACCAATTGTGTTGCGATTCCCAGCACCAATAGTGAGAAAACGCACGAAACCGTAACAATATCATTCGTTTGTAAGTGCTCCAGACTACCGCCTCTTACTTTCCTCTCCATACTCCACAGAGGGCACGAGGGGGTTGTCGTCGATACTTGGGGCTTGTCTAAAATACTGCTTAATGATTTTCTTATGTGATCTGTAAGGAGCTCTATCATTCAGGCTTCCTCATGATCATGAGGAAGGACACGCCTCCATCAAGGAGATAATTGAAGGTGACCGGACATACTCATACCAAACTTCGCACGTCACACTTCAATTACCCCATTGCAATCGGAATGTGTCCAAAACATGGGAGAATTAGCATCATAATCCCACATACCTGATCTTATCTCATTACCTGTTTCCGACGTTTTCCTGTGCATTCCTGGAAATATGAAGCACTCCTTCAAAATGAGTCCTAAAGGAACCTTTTATGACCAATAGGTAAGAAGTAATTACAGAAAATCTTGTAGAAGTCAGCCTGACCAGCTATAATAGGTCAACATTTTCTGACCTCCCATAAACAACCCTATGGTAAGAAAAAAAAATATTTTGGATTCCATGTTTTTGGGCCAAACTCAAACTCTGTACCGAATTTCAACTAAATCGTTGATCGGCCAAGAAATCACCTAAATGGAATAGTGGCAAAGTATCTGGTGCTGAGGAAATAGGTAATAAGAAGAAATGGTAATCCATCCATTTCCATTGGCTTAAAAAAAAAAACTGGACATTTTATACCATTTTCATGCATGTCTGTGTTCCCCTGCAAATATGGTAAATACCAGTATAAAAACCCATGACAAAAAAAAAAGAATCTTGTTTCAGGTTTGACAAGGTCTGTCTGTCAGAAAATACATCATTTCAGCACCATGCCCAGCATGTTGGATATAATATGACAGGATTAAAAGCTCCCACTCCTGAATGGATGTAATGTATAAGGTATGGCAAAAAAGACCAATAACTTTTTACCTAAATATTGAGCAATGCAAAACTAATGCCCCCTGTTTGGCACTTTAAGAAACCTGTTGTGGATCATCTGTGGTTTGTGATTTTTTTGTATCACATTGAAAACACTACTAAATTTGTTTCTTGAAAGTTTCAAGTGCCTAAGTTGCTAGAATAAAAAGCAACAATAATTCAAAGAGGTAATAAAATATACCTTTTCTGTGCTAGAAGTGGATGGAGTTTCAGCACTGCCCAAGCGATTTCTCTCCTTTAATACCACAAAAGCTGCTTTTTTTGCACTGTCATTGTGGTAGCATTCCTGATTGTGTAGTGTCTCTATGCCTCAGGTGAGAAGGAAAGGCCTGAATTTTCTGAATTTTATGTCTTTGGAGTATAAGGACTGGAGAATTTTAAAGAGTAGTGTTCCCAATCCAATTATAGATTGTCTTGGGTGGCATCTCTTCCCTATCAAGCCTTTCTTTAAAAATCACCCTATAATGCAGCAACTTTTTCTTTAAAAGATATGACATCATGAGATCACATATTTATGAACACTACTATAAGAATATAGCTATAAGTAGTCTTTTGGTAACAAATGGGACACACCTGGAGAGCACTGCTTAAGTCACTGTCTCCCAATGCATGGAAAGGTGGAACTTTCTTTCCTATGTTCTGACAACTGTTGCTCTTTACCCAAACACATCATCTCCTGAAATGACTTTTGGAACGTTTTCTACATGGTGCAAAAAATAGATAAATCTAGCATTTCTAAAGTACATTTCATTAAGCCTCAGACAGAATGCCTTTTTTTTTATGCCACCTAGCATCTCTACTCATACTTGAGCACATTTTGCAAAACATCCACAATGCATACATGAATATATTTCCTACTCATTCTCAAAGTTTCATCCAATTTTTTTGGGGCCAATGCAATGCTATTAGCAATTAGTCAACAAGGATGTTAAAATCCACCAATTCAAAGCAAAGTCATACTCATAGCAAACAATACTCTATGACAAGTCTAACATTTAAAAGTCAATTTCTTCAAAAAACAAAGGGAAATACTGAATGTACTTAGAAAAAACTTTTAGGATTGGTACTCATTGATTCATCTGCTATTCTTTTGCAATAAGTTCATGTTAACCATCTGCAAGAGATGACCAGCTGAAAGAATGAATTTGAATGGAAGAAGAGTTTGACATGGTCTTCAACAGGAGGGACAGCACTTGAGTGTTTCCTCTACTCCAATACCAGCAGGAGCTCTTGTCCATTCTCATATCTAACTTCATTTCAATAATTTTTGAATCATTGCTTTGGACCAACAAATTCAGGTTAAATTTTGAGAATCAGTTGGAAACACACATATACAGGGTGTCCCATAAGTCCCTTTACCCCCATGTGTTTTTTTTCAAGTGAGTTGCAGTAAGGATTTGTGCAGATAGTGGAAGACATGAGTGACCAAAGCCCCTTTACATTGTCAAACAAGTGTTATTAAATGTCTCAATAAATGTAAAAAATACATTAAAAAAAACTAAATCCATACATTTCATTTTCCTACCCTATTCTACAGGTTGGTCCATTTAAATGGAATCATAGGGAGTAATAAAAGTCAAAAGATGCTTAGATTATTTTTTTCTTCCACATCCTGTAGAATGCTTCAGAACAAGAAAACGACAACCATTTCTTCTATCTTGTCATGAGAGAGCAACTAGTAGTAAAAAAAACTCAAAATAATCACCGAAAAGTAATCCTGAACAATAAACCATTCAGTCTGGAGCTCCAAGAGAAAAATTTCTTTAATATACTAAGTCTTTCAGACTCAATGAAAGCATTTAAAAAAAGCCACAAATAAACCCCAAGAAGCAAGAACATCCCAAAAAAAATCATGAATGGCATGGCTGTGGAGGTGGCTTCACATGGTTGCAGCCTTCTCTATTCCTGGCCACCTCAATGGCAAGGAACTGGATGCGAGGCACAAGAGTGGTATTTTCTTCAGTGTATTCCCCACTGCTGTCCAGCCTTAACAGGGTAGCAAAGTTGTAGTCTTCAATGATACCCTTGAAACCCTCACAGAACTGTCTCCATTCCCCCTTTGCTACTTCATTCTTCAATATGTCATCACTAACACAGTCCACTCGGAGATTGGGGAATTTCTCTCTGAATTTATAATAGATCACATCATCCTGTGAACTCAAATTTAGATGTGCTGGGTCAACTGAGCACAAGAGATTGAAGTGAACCACAGAATGATCTATGGCTCTCATCAGCCATAATTCTTCGATGTTGGAATCATTCATAAATTCTTCTGCTGGTCGTGATAGGACCCCTTCAGCAGCAATAGCACCAGCTCCACATTCCTCAATCCTTCCTTTCATTTGAGCTCTGTTAAATGCACATGGACCTGTCAGGAATAAAATGAGACAGCTAAGACCTATGAACATCAGCACTCCAAACATTCCAATTCACTATGATGCATTATTATTCTCCACTTCAGTTAACTTGATTGTTCTTGTCTGAGTGGACTTCGTTCTTCGGAACAAACCTTCCTGTTTTTGTTAAGCAGGAGTATTCTTTCATTATTACAATGATATCATGACTGTGTCTGAGTCAATAACAGTACTGATCAATGAATCTAGTTTAACATTACTCAACAATTCCTATGTAGTAAGCTGACAAAAAATGAATTTGCTAAGTGTCGGACAAACAAAGAAAGCTGTAAAATTGTAAGCCAAGGATATGAAAACATTGCTGACTGGCAACAACAGATGTAAGTCCATGCCACAATGGTACAAAAACTGTTTCAAAACAACTTGAGTTCCAAGTTCATATAATCTCGCCAAGTACAAAGGGCATACTGAAAGCTTTGCTTCACATATTGTAAAAATGGATTGCATTTACATAGAAGGATCAACATTTCTTTGATGTTAGCTGAATCCTTTCTCTTTTACTTCCATGCACTGATTTTGACTGAAGTTCACAAATAACATGGATAACAGGGCAAAGCAACATGTAGTAATCAAGCCCAACCATCAATTGGCAAGATCATGCCGACAATCTTTTGGGATGAAGAAGGGGTCCTAATCTGTTACCTGCCAAAGAATCAAACCATTAACAGTGACTGCTACATTTTAACTTTCGAGAGGTTTGCTAAAGTCTTGAAAAGCAAGCATCCTGGAACCCCCCAAAGGGAAGAGATCCTCCATAATGATAATGCCAAGCCTCACACATCTCTGGCAACTTTGCTCAGATTGCAAAATTCAGCTGGACTATTGCACCTCATCCCCCCTACAGCCTTGCCACATCAGACCAACACCTGCTTGGTCCTTTAACACCTTTGCTGCCCAGCCATTTTTGGGAGGTCATTTCCCCGAGACCAAAGTAATCCTCCAAATTCTTGTGTGCATGACACAAGTGATTCTGCAAAGGATGGGGATCCACTGGAGATAATGAATGCAGTGGATGGCAATGGACAAGCCGTAATGAGGAAACTTTGAGCCTGTTCACAATGACTGCCAGCAATCAAATGGCACCTATGTAGTACCTTTGAATTTCTAACCAATTTTTGAGTGCCATTGCTTCCACAATCTTCATATTCCTTGGACCTCAAACCTTGCGACTTCACGCTGATTCCAAAAATGAGATGCTTTCTATAAATGGCCACTGCTTCGATGACACAGATGCTTGTCAGTCAGCTACGACCAACACGTTGGAAAAATTTGCCAAGAATGGGTTACAGTCTGTTCTAAGCTCTTTACAAGTAAAAGGAAATGTGTGTTGCATGTCAAGTTGAACTAGAGTGTTGGCTGGAAAAAAAAAATGTAACTGGAAAATTTATTTTAATAATAAATTCTTCAGTGAATTCACTTAAAAATGTAAGGATACCTTATCAACAAGGTTCCTCAAGAGCTGCTGAAGTGTATTGCCCCTGTCCATCTACTCTTGAGTTATGGCAGATTTAATCAAATTGGTCAAATTTTCTGAGTGGACAGGCATGTGACTGCCAATGGTGAGGCACAAATCCACATTTGATTTTTGCCTATTTGCCAAAAATGTGCACTCAACCTTAAGAAGTTCATGCATCTACAAGCATTTTCAGGCATCCTCATGCGATTTTGATTTGTGCCTCACAACAGCAGTCACATGCCTGTTCGCTCATTTCTGCACCATCTCAACAAAACTCATGAATGGGTATCCATGAATTCATAATACTTCAAAAGCTTTAGGAAAACATAGTAGGCAACATTCCATTAAATTTTAAGGCTAATCTGTTACATGGTATGGATTCCAAAGAATATTTTCAAGTTGCTTACTTTTCTTGCCATCCATATACTTGGAAAGGGATCATTCTGAAACAGAACTTCTGCACATAGTTTGCTCATATGAAAACTAGTTCTGGAGCTTTTTGATATGTCCACATGCATATTATATATAAAGACTCCTAATGTTTCTGCACTCTCTTTTTTGTATGTTGTTTACCCATGATAGGCCCCAAAAATGCAGAAATGAGAAAGAAGTAATTCCCATTTCACCCTTATACTTAGACATGCTTATATGGAATACATTATAATAAAATGAGTAAAAAACCACTGCAAATATATTTTAAATTGACCTTATCAGGAGGCGACGATAAAATTCATAAGATGAAAGAAGAGGCAAATAGATCTTATGCAAAACAATGCAAATGCAATACAATACAATGCAATACAAAATCGTATCGGAACTGGGTGCAATAGCAGCCTCAAGACAAGGAAACTCCATCAAGATGGCTGTATTTTTCTGAGAACACGTGGAGCAGCACCCGACCCCGTAAGCCTACACTTTCAAGTCAAGCTGCACATACCAGAAGCGTCAAAGTTTCCTTGTTTCCACCTAGGCATGCACTTCATGTTGTGTTTTGGGCCATAACTAAACGAACAACTGGTCATTCCATCGAGAGCGCCTAAGGTCTGATAGGAGTAGGCTACCGTGCTAAATATCCGACTAAGTAGCCCTATGTTATAGGAGTACTCTGACGAGACATTACCGGTGATGGATCGATAATGCATTGGATTCCTGGGAATGTGTCATAAAATATGATGAGGAGAACCTGTCACCACAGACATGTATATACTAATGTATAACTAGGCTGGTTAGTCATAGGTGCGAGACGTGAGGCCAGGCGTGAGGCCTTTCGACGCCATGTTTTTGGGGTTAAAGCCAGGCCCCGCCCACATGTCCCGTACAAAATTCCCGCTCACATCTGTCCACGCGACTTGAGTTCACCCAGTATCTATTAGAGTTCATGCCTTTATCCAGGACTTCGAGTCCACCAAGTTTCATTTTTAACGGGCAAGTCCTTTCTCAGACCAGGAAGTACGAGGTTGAGGACCATTCTTTGGGAATTATACTTGCAGCCCTAGTGCGAAAACTTCAAGACCGATTCTGAAGTGCCACTGGGCTCGTCTCGTTTCTATACCACAGTGCCTCCAGACACCAAGGGTGGCAGACTGGATGAGTGTCAAGTAAGAAGTACTTAAATGACCTCTAAGTACTTATGAATGGCCAAAACACCTGACAAAGAAAAAAGCCTACCCGACTGATTTCTATCAATTACATATTGCCAGACTCATCTCAGATTTGGAGGTGCACCTTTTCGGAGTCTGAAGCCCTGATCTAGTACCGAAAGTAGTAATAAGGTACTACTAGGAGGTACTTCATGTACAATAGTCCCTACATCTTCCAGAGAAGCCGTAGGGACTATTGGATTAATAGTTAGCTACTATGGAACATTCAGTCCTGATACAGTGATTGCAGGAATTCTGTTCTAGTAGGGGTCTGGTGGAGGGATGAGTATAGGTTTCGTCAGTAGATGCTGGGCTATACTAAGGTTGCATTGTCTCTCCTTTCCTGTTCTTTGCGTACATGGACAAGATTTGTATGTATAGCCTGGGCTGCAAGGGAGTCATCATCAGTGGTGCATCATCAATAAAGTTAGTTCTCTTGGCTGGTGATGCTGTTTTATTGACCCAGTCTAGTCATGAGCTATACAGCATGATGAATCAATTCAATTCATTGTCCTCCTTAGTGCTTTGGAGTCCTTCTCGTACCCATGAGGATATAATGAGCAGAGTGGAAGAAGAGTTTGACATGGTCTTCAACAGGAGGGACAGCACTTGAGTGTTTCCTCTACTCCAATACCAGCAGGAGCTCTTGTCCATTCTCATATCTAACTTCATTTCAATAATTTTTGAATCATT